CTTATATGAGTGGGACCAAGTAACTTGCATAATTTGTATGTGTGAGGAGACTGTTTGGATTTTGAACAAAGCAATCCTCTTTGCTGACGTTCCTCAGCCTCCCCCCCTTTTTTAGTTATTATTGAGAACTCAATTCCCATCGCATAAAACCCAGATTCAGATCCCGGTGATAATATTTTTCTAATATTTTAATGTTCTTTCATGTCAAGTCCTTTGAGTGTCGGGCTAAGAACGTCGTGTCTACCATCTGGCCAGTCATCTGGTAGTTATTTGAAGAAAGTGGGGTTCGCACAAAAAACAGCTCGATATCGCCTGAATTGTCAATGCCCACTACCCGATCGAAGGTCCCATCGACCGTTCCATACTGCTCCTGATATCATGCTATGTAAACTTAGTGGGAAATATAATTCTTTAAAACAAAAAACGTGTCTAGAGAGTTATCCCAGGTAAATGAAACTTCAAGTAATACTGGCACAAAGGATGGGGAAGAGATGCTTCACCAAGTCATCACTCCATGGACAGAATATTAGCGTTGATTCGCATCATCTCGGTAGCTAGGGTATTGTATATGACTGCGAGATTGCATCTGAAGGTTTTTGCATTTATAAGGATATCAAACATATTTGTATTGTATGGGAGAAATACACGGTACATACCAGTTCCAGCTGACTGGAGTCCTAAGACCTCCGATTCTGTCAACGAGCGGAAGTAGATCGACGAGTTGAAGACTCTCAATCAAGCTTTCATCATACCACTGGACCCCATTTCCTCTGTCCTGGAGGGGATAGATAACCTGGGAAAAGAGGCAATATTGAATCAGAAACTAATAGTGAGAATGCGAATGAAAATGTAGCATGGTCAGCTGTGTGTTTGCTCATAACTTGAGTTATCACAGGTGAAATCATTCTGAGTTTTGTAGCAAGATCATTTTAAAACAGATAATTGAATGTGCCCATGCACGAGACGGACTTGATCGAGGAGGCTGCCGTCTGTGAAGAAAGGCCTCTGTGGCATGAAGAGTATGTGCCTTGGAGTCACGGGGAGTTGGCATTTCAGGCTTCCTGAGTATCGGGGCCAGAGGCCGCGCAGAGTCCTCAACAGGCTCGTCTTCCCACAGCTGCTCGGTCCCATGATCAGGATGTTGCTCTTTAACTTGATCTGGAGGTCCAGTTCTATTAGAAAGTAGGAATGAAGTCGTTATCATTGTGGATCTGTGAAGACGGAGGAATGTTTGAGTGTGGCATGGAGACCTTATGTAGGAGTTTGGGTAATGCAAATGAAAAACAAAGGCCTCATCAGTCTATGTTCAACTGGATTCATTAATATGAAGGCACGTTGTTCAAAATTAATCTCTAAAACCAAACATAATAGAAACATAAGGTCTGCAACGTATTGCATAGGCAATAACAGTTTTAACAGTAGCACTTTCCGCCGATCATGAATGCTTCTCTGTGAATGTCTTGATTTTGATTTATTTTTTCGTTGAATTACGAAGAGGAACGTCATGCATTCAACTTCGGTTGAATAACATTTCCAGTATACAACAAAATATGTCAAAACCAGCATGAATAACATATATTTGACGGCATCCACGAACTTATTTCGGGCGTGAAGCAGTATTTGTTGCTGTGGGGGGATCGTGAAGGACTATGTTTCCCAAGGGACGCATTAGTTAAGGATTTAATGGTGGAAGTTGAGATGTATTAGTGTGTAAGAGCAAGTGCCCCTCAACAGTTGGGGAAATTTGTGGAAATGCAAGGCGATCACAATGACCTATCAATAATCTGCCAAAGGGGCAACTCCATGAATGGTGCTATGTGTTGAGCACCTTATGGTAGTCTGTGATGATGAGTTTAGTCTTTATATACAAATAAAATCCTAATATATCTAATCAAGCACTTGTACGTGTCCGCGAATATGGAAAAGGAAGCAAAACCTTTTATGAGGACCTGTGACCTGGATGGAACAGCGACCGAAAGCTTCCCAATGTCATAGATTGGAATTGGAGGATCACTCGAAGAGGAAGATGAAGGATGCAGCAGGGACCAACAGTCCTCACCTATCCTGCAAGACCATGAAAGCAGAACTATATGGATCAGTGTACACTGTCCACGTGAAATAAATTAATGAGAAGGAATGGGATGATAACCAAGAAGAAGGATTGCGATCCCGGACACTGTTGAGTTCTTCCACGAGTTCTGCCACTCTGTGGGTCATTCCGGCGATGTCCACCACTTTCGGGGACAAGTCGACCAGTGAGCTGAAGCTGAAGATCAGGTAAATGCACACAAATGCGTTCTAGAACACAGATGGAGTCTCTCATGTCATACCTTTCGCACTCTGCTGAGCCTGAATATACACTTGCCGCAGAAAATGAATATTCTTATCAAATTTGGATACTGAATGGCCGGAGTAAATTGGAGGAATTTACTTAGGCTTCGATAAATCAAGAATGGACGGATGAAGTTAAACATTTTTTCTGATCCAAGGTACTTTTAGTAGTAACAATATATCGTTCTTTCATACCACACGGGATGATAGACGTCTTGAAAGTTTACTGGAAATGTTTCAAAATATATATATATATTAATATATTACGCTAATGTATGTTTGTAAGCCGCGCTGTGACGATATGCTAATAGATATCCTGAAATATTATGCATCGTTCGAAAGCCTATAGTCTAGAGGGGTGCATAAAGCAATCATATTTGAAATATCTTCAACCCAGGATGAGTTACGAGCCTTCAAAATGTTCACCATTATGCTACACTGGTAGAGTCCTGCACG